AAACAATAAAAGAGGCTCCCTTATCAAGAGCATCCCAGCACTCTCACATCCCAACTGTAGTTCCCTTACAAACAGTTCCATTATCTTATCTTATCATGTCAGAGGTCAACTGAAACCATGACCAACCCCCGGGGGGTAATGACACCTCCTAGTGGTCTGGTCTAACCCTTATACATATAAAGACTCTTTCATCATTTGGAACATCAACAGAGTGACCTAAGGAACACAGACACCTCTAACTAAGGAGAGCAGGATGACATTGGTATCAACCATCACGAACAGCTGGAACATCATCCAAGCCACAGCCGCTCTAGGTACGTCTACAGGTGTATGCACCCGATGCACTCATCGTAAAAAGCAATGCTTGCAACCCATCACCTGGTGATGTTGCCGCTAAACGCCTTTCTACAGGAAACATGCTACGGATGTCGAACAGCTCATCCCAGTCAGGTGCAACACTGCTGTTTGCTCGAACTGCCCGAATATTACTTTGACACCTACTACGACGACGTGATGCTGAGGCTCAAGACATTCCGATTCACAACCGCCATACGCCTGTTTGTACGCGCATACACAAACGATGGGACTAAAACACAATTCAGCAGGATTGCAGAACACACCATGACTGAACTGAGATCATCACAACATATAGTATGTGCAATTAACGACAATATTGCACAGCTGATAGAAGCAAGTCATTATGCCTGTCGTGTTAAACTAGCCATGCTTCGCATGATTGGTAACTACTGGGTTGGGAGATACCTGGTTTAATGTATGCTGTTCAGTATTCATTGTCTGTGTGAATGAAATAAAAAGACATGTTAACACCAACATCTTAGTCATTTTTGCTTATACGACTTTGCTTATACAATAAGGAAAGGAACAATACAGCTTGTTTCTCTGCTCCAAGACATCAGAGGGCCTTTCACGGTAAGCATGTCTGTTATACCCAGTGCATATATGTCTGTATGTCGGCGCTGATTATTCAAACCCTGTTTAAAATGTGATACATATGTTGTCCAAAAACAATTCCTCTAAATTTGCAAAGTTACTGATTTAAAAATATATTTTTGAATTTTTAGTTGCATGTCAAACATATGATAGACTCTTGAGCATGTTTATATAGCTACATTCACAATGGTATAACCATGCTAAATAAAAGATGCCCAAGCACCAATGCACTCTAATGCAAGCCTCTAAACTGTATGTTGATAAGTGCATGAAGTGTACCTCTACCTCTATAGCTGAAAACAGTTTGCATCTGCACTCTGAGGGTCTGCTGAATTGTTTTTAATATGGCACTTTTTTATGAACTGCAGATGATGAAATCCTCTTTATTGGAGATAGTGTCCTTAAGCTACTGTTGCTCATACTTATTGAGTTCCCTAGCTACCTCCTTACTATGTCAGTAAACGTTTTGAAAAGGAAAGTGTTGTAGATTTAAAGAAACAACCTAATTGAAGCAAAGGCAAAAAATTGGAATGAATTTTATGTGACCACTCATATTAAAGTCAACAACAAGTGAAAATCCAAAAACGGCTCCAATCCTTTATATTAATGATCTCCCTCTCTCTCTCTCTGTGTGTGTGTGTGCCCTCACAGAAGGAAGTTCACAGCAGGAGCTTTTCTCAAACGCATTACCAATCAGTTTTTTTTACAAGAAGTGTAGTTCATACAACAATAAATGGTAAATGGCCTGTATTTATATAGTGCTTTTACTAGTCCCTAAGGATCCCAAAGCGCTTGATCCATCACAGCTGATTTAAATGGATAAATTACCTTCTCAACATGTCTTGAAGTTCTCCAGAGGCCTGGTAATGAACTAATCATGTGACTCAGGTGTGTTGACCCAGGGTGAGATGCATTTGAAGTGGTTAATCCATTAGGGTCTGGAAAAAAGAAACAGAAAATCCTGGCAGTGTACATGACTCTAGGTGAGATCTTACCACATAACCGGTCCTCTGTTGATGCAATGCAACTTGTTCTGCTTTCCAAGGACACTGACTTCAAAACTTTTGTCCATAACAAAGTTTTTTCCAGTCTTATTGCAGACCTTAAAGATATGGAAGAGACAGGTGTTCTGGTAGAGGATGGAACCATAATGAAGGCAGCTTTGATAGCCATCTTAGGAGACAATCTGGGCTCCCACTGCATAGGTGGTTTCACTGAGAATTTCAGCTGCAGCAAACATTTTTGCAGATACTGCTTAATTGACAGGGAAAGCTTTATCAATGATCCACTATCACTTGGACAAAAAAGAACAGCTGATAACTATAAAGACAGTGTTGAGGTCCTCTCTACAAGTGACCACTCGGTTGTGAATGGCATTAAATTTGACTCTGTGTTTAATTCACTGAAGTATTTCCATGTGTGCTCTGGGTTACCTCCATGTTTGGGCCATGATTTATTTGAAGGAGTGGTTTCCAGTGACTTGTCGCTATATATTGATACCCTTGTGCAAGTGGAAGGGCATTTCACATACAACCAGTTAAACAGAGCAATTGTACAGTTCAAACACGTAGGAAGTGATGCTTTAATACCACTTTTTTATGTCCGATACCGATATCATAAATTTGGATATCTGCCGATACCGATATGAATCCGATATAGTGTTTTTTAATCAACAAAACTGTTTTTTTAAATATCTTGCTGCATTTTGTATAAGTTCATACTCAAGTTTAAAACAACAACTACACTAAAGCTACGCCCCGGACCCTCATCAGATATGATCCGCCCATATAGTGTCTTTTAATTCAACCCCCGAGAAAACACTTTTTTTTATAACACTCTCATGCGATAGCACTATTTTCCTGATTGTCCCTCAATTAAAGATTTTCATACTCAACGGTTAAAGACGAAACTACACTCTACAAAGCCTATTCTTGTATTAGCCTCGGGCAGCTCACTCTGTATACCTCTTTAAAACAACAACTACACTAAAGTATTCACTGCACCCTACCTAATATTTCATAGTTTAACAATACTGATCAATCTAATAAACTTAAACCTACACCATCCTCCCTATTCTGGTATTTTAAAGAGTACTTAGCAAATATTAAGCAACCTAACTAATAGGGTTCCAACTCCCAGCAACAACAAAAATAAATAAATAAAAAATAGGGAACCACCCCTCACGCTCCACCTCATGATGCTTAATCGACGTAATCAACCTTAATTTGATGCAGTGTGAAAAAAAAATGCACAGAAATCAATTATTTTTCAAGAAATATTAAATAGATTCAACATCTTTCTTCAACAAAATTGCAGACTGCACAGATGGTACCTTCCCAAAGGAAAAAGTACTATAGCTTACTAGGGTATATATATTAGACTTAATAGTCACTATATACAGTAATTGACTTCTATTCATTTTACATCAAATTAAAACTTTGGGTGTAAGATAATTATTTATTAAAAGCTAGACATTTTAAATGAGAATAAGAAAGAAAAGTATGTCTTTGTGCCCCCTTTTCCCAGTTAATGCCCTATCGGCCCCCCTGGCTAAACTTTGCTAGATCCGCCCCTGCACAGTTACCAGCCGTCAGCTACGTAGAAAAAGATCCTCGAGTAGAAAGTAATATTAAATACATTCTAACAACAGCTGATCAAGCTTAAACGTGCTGCTGTTGTTCAGCCGCTGGTTTCCTCTTTCTGGTGCAAAGTGGGCCAAAAACAAACAAGAGAGACGGACTCGCGACAGAAAAGCCGATCAGCTGATCGTTAAGCAGTTTCATGATTGAAGTAGCAGCAGGAGAGGCAGTCGCTCGTTAAGCTTAACGCAGGAATGCTTTACAAACATTCAGAGATGGACTTACACACTTGCTTTACTTCTCTCGGGGATAACTTTGTCGGAGATGAAATGCCGGGTTGCTAGCGAAGCTCCACATGCTATCCAGACCACCGACAGGTCCCGCATGCCACAGCCGCTCTATCACGTGATGCATACTGCTCCGACGTGCTAACGTTCTGAGGTGAGTTACGGCGTGTTGCAAGTTTTGTGAGGTGCTTTCGTGATATTTAATGGATCAGATTACATTTTTTATTTTTCTCCGATATCCGATCCAGTAATTTAGGTCAGTATCGGACCGATACCGATACGTAATATCGGATCGGTCCATCTCTATTCAAACACGTAGGAAGTGGCAGCACAGAACAGGCCAACGCCAGGATCCAATGTACATACACACACGCAATCACTGATTAACACACAACATAAGCCATGTGAGGTGAAAACAGGGCAGAGGCTGGGGGGTTCAGCAGCACAGAACTGGTGTCTTCTACGACTTCTGCCTCTGTACATTGGTGAAAAGATAAAACATCCTGTGGATAGTGAGGTTTGGCAGTTATGCCTTAAACTTAGAGACATTGTTGATATTGTATGTGCCCCCAAAATAAGTCACAATGACATTGCCTACCTAAAGATACTGATAGAGGACTATATACATCTGCGACACAGTAGGTTTCCTGACAAAGCTTTAAAAGCTAAACATCACTATTTGTTACATTATGCAGAGCTTATCCTTCACTTTGGACCACTCATTTGTTTGTGGACCCTTAGATTTGAGAGCAAGCACTCATATTTCAAAGCATGTACAAAAACAGTGCACAACTTTGTCAACTTATGCAAGACTGTGACAGAACGGCATCAGTTACTGCAGTCCTACCTCTCAGTGAGCCAACTGTTTCCACCTACAGTTCAAAGAACTGTCATTCAAGAAGCTGTGGCAAAAGCAGGCTGCACTAATCAGACCACTTTGGATGTGTCAGCAGTTGTCTACAAAGGTACCAAGTATGTCAAAGGCTATGTTTCCATTGATGACACTGATGATGGCTTGGTTTTTGGGAAGATAGCTGTTATACTTGTTAATGATTCTGAATTGTACTTTGTGCTCGAGTTGCATCACTCAGTACTTCTCACTGACCTTGGACTTCACTACTTACACTTCAATTGTCACATGTATTGGCTCACCCTACAAATCAATGAACTCAGTCCACAAAGCAAGATCAGAGTTCAGTGCAGGTCAGTCAAGTTCCTTCACACCACACACGCTCATCCATGTCCTTGTGGACCCTGCTTTGCGCATTGATTTGGTGGTGTGAGCCAGTATTTTCGACAAAGTGTATATAAAGGCAGAAGTGTGGGGCTTGATATTATATTTATTACAATTCAGTTTATTTGTAAGGTGCCAACTTCACATTGTAGGTTTAAGACCCTACAAAAAATAACTAAGAAAACCCAACACTTGAGTATATGTTGTCTGGCATGATATGGATATGACATAATATCGTTATTGTTTGTACAACCATCTGAGAAAATACATGTATTACACAGTTTAGTAAAAACAAGTGCTTCCTCAATGAAAATATGTTTTCAGTTCTTTTCAGTTTTTGATTTTGGAAATGTGTATTTCAGCAGGGAAAAATCAGAATTGAAATAAAGTGGTGTAAAGCACATGAATTATATTTTGTGTGTGTGTGTGTGTGTGTGTGTGTGTGTGTGTGTGTGTGTGTGTGTGTGTGTGTGTGTGTGTGTGTATATATATATCTTTGTTAATAGAGATAGTCGATAAAAAAGTGTGTGTGTATATATCAGATTATATTTTGTGTGTGTGTGTGTGTGTGTGTGTGTATATATGTGTGTGTTTTTATATAAAAATACATATAAATGAATAAATGATACTTTTTTTTTCATACAATACAATTTTTTTTGGAACCCTCCAGTCTCTTACAGTATGTTACTGTTTCCTAAAATTACGGTAAATTACAACCTGCTCAACAGTAAATGACCCTGTAGGGACACGGTATCCTCTAGCAGAGATGAATATTTTTGGTACTGATGATGCGTGATAACGGTAAGTTACTGGTTAATATATTGCAGTTTATTACCTTGCAGCGGGCTTACAGTGACATACCGTGAATAAACGGTAGTATACCAATTTCTTAATCACAGTATGATGTTACTTTGTTGACGTAATTTACGACATAACGACATAAAAAAAAAAGAAAAAGCTACGGTGCGTTACCATAATTTGTCCAAGAGTATTATACCACAACAGCAAAAAACGGTATCATCCTGCAGAACGGTAAGCTACTGTAACACGGCGTCACGGTATGGCGCTGGCAACAGTGACGCCAGTATGTTACCACAAAGTGGAGACAAAAAGTCTAACAGTGTACTATAGGAATCTGTATTTAAAATCAAATCTTATCAGAATTCTTGCTTGAAAATTTGAGTGCTGCATCCAGAATGAAACCTGTATTTAAGACTCAATGCTACTGAACCAACCAGAAAGCGAGTGCCAAAAACAACGTGAGTGCACATTTGCACTGTTTGAACGTGACTCTCAAATTAAGAAATGTGTTAAAATGTGTTACACTAAACACAAGCCTTACAGAAGAAAAGGTTGATCCAATCAAAAATATATTATTGTGAATGTAATATTGTAAATGACGGACATTGAACAACTGGTTTTACAGTTGTTCAATATGGGAATATTTCAGAGAAGTAGAATTTCTCTATCACGCATCTTATGAAGGACTTTATATCACCAATGCAGGCAACTCTACTTGAAATAGAATAATTAGCTATGGCACAGACAGAACTGATAAGATTAAGTCAGCAAACAGTACTATAAGGAGGAAATCATAAACCTAAAAAGAAATTTAACTTGTAAGAAAATCATTCAACAGTCCAGTCTCATATTGCTGACCTGATCTCAAAGCATATTCACCAAAAAGTCTAGATGCATGCTCAGCCCTTCAGTTAAGGAAATCTCTAAAAAGTTGTCCTAAGCTTTTTTAATAAATCAGTCTTTTAGCAAAACATTGAACAGTTTTAATCGCACCTGTAACCGGAAGGTCGCCGGTTCGATCCCCGGGCTCTCTTGGACAAGACACTTTACCCTACCGCCTACTGGTGTTGGCCAGAGGGGCCGATGGCGCGATATGGCAGCCTCACTTCTGTCAGTCTGAATGAATAGTGGCATTGTAAAGCACTTTGGGTGCCTTGAAAAGCGCTATATAAATCCAATCCATTATTATTATTATTATGTTAAACACAATTTAGTAACTCAGTGTAAATCATTAAAACCACTATGACTCACTAAAGCACATGTGTGCAGTGACAGCCAGGTTGAGTCAGAGGTTGATAAACAACAAAGCATCAAAACAGTCTGATAATATATGTAAACAAGTTCTCAAGACAGAAAACTACAAAAAGAAATTCACCTGAACCTGCATTACTTTTAGAACCAGTTTAACAGTAGAAAGGTAAGTGTTGTATTACCTGGGTGTTTGCAGCAAGACCAATAGAGTGAATGACCCCTACACCTCTTATCATCATGCACATGCTTTGAGCCTCCACAATCCTCCACAACATTGCCACAACATTATTTGCTGAAAAGATAACCTGGAGAGTCCAAAGTGCTGTTTTCTCTCTGATATTGTTAGACCTTCAGAGAGTCACAGATCTCCAACTCTGGCCCTGATGAACTGGGAGACTTTACACTCAGCGGTGTCCTTAACACACCGACTAGAATTTTGGTCACTTGCATAATACGGTTTGAGTAAGTTTACATGACAGCGCTGAACCAACTTCTTTCATTTTAGGGTTGAAAGTAATTTATATCAAAGTTTCTCATTAAGGACCTGTGAGGGCCTGTAAATGGGGGACGATACAGAGATGCCACAACTGGCAAAAAGGCTGAAACTTGGTCCCCACAACAAAACTGACAACTGGCAATCCCAGCTACAAGCAGTCAAAGTCTAAATCTATTAACAAACTCAACCAAGTTTTTTAGGTGGCTCGGAATAAACCCCTTTATTTTTTATTACAGCCAAGGGCCGACGCACACTATGTCAAAACCCAAGCTCATTAGGGCTGAAACCTATGTTTTCTTTCAGCCAAAATCAGCCATGGCAGACCCTCTTCCCAGTCTCTACTAAGCTTTATACAATAGGTACGCAAAAGAGACTTTAGCATCTGGGGAAACCTTTCCAGAGCACCCTGTCTTTGTGCATGGTATCTTGATGACCAATTATGGTTTATGTGCAGGGTTTACAAAACTTCGGCGAACATGTGAGATGAAAAATTTGAACTCTGACCACTCACACCGAAACAAACTGAGTTAGAGCTGTCACCAATGCCTTGCTCGTTATTGACCTCAGTGGATATCCAGCAGGAATTTTGGTACTTTGACATATCACTGCAAGAAGATACTTATTTCCAGATGTTGAGGGCAGCAAAGGACCCACACAGTATAGAACAAGATGTTCAAAAGGTTCCATTATCAGAAGAATAAGTTGTAATGGTGCTAGCTTAATGAAAAGCATAGCATCCCAAACAGCAGGAATTAACAAAACATCATCAGGCATTTTGCACATGTAACTCATGTAACAGGTGCAGAGGCTGCAGCCGGTTTAATATAAGATGTAATTCTTGCGGTTTTGGCCTGCAACCTTGGAAATTCTGCCTTCCAGGGACCTTTCATGACAGTAATTGCAGGCATTGGTTTTATCAGACTTTTATCAAGCTTAGAATCGAATTTAAATGAACGAACCTTACCTTATCTTGAGTGATTTTCCAAAACAACCGAACCAGAACCTCTCCTCACACTGTCTGCTGTCTTTACTTTGCACGCTGGAATATTGCTCTCATGGAAGAGTGCAAACTCATGTGCTGGTGTTCCAGATTAACTGGTGTCACAGATTAACTGGTGACGGTTAAACAGATGTGTAGTAGATAACAAACCAGGAAATAAACAGTTAATATTTAATCTGTGACATTTGTCAGGTTAATTGTGTGGTGGCCCACTAGAGGGCTCCACTCTCACCCAGTGTGGAGGAAGTGTGTTGCTGTGTTTTGTGGCGCGATATGTTCAGTTGATGTTGGAGAGGAATAGGGCTTTGGAGTTGAGGTCACGCCGCAGTGCATTGTGGGATCGCGGCGCCATGTCAGTAGGCCAGAAAGCTAAACAAGCGCGCAGTGTTGGAATCGGGACTGCCAGAACCATGCTCAAAATCAGCACAAAAGACAAAGGGCTGTATCGGGCCGATTGTGCCCGGACACCAAGAGACAGTACTTTGAAAAAATTGCGTCCATCGGTAATGTGGACCCGTATGAAATAAGGAAGTGGAGTGGAAACCCAGACGACCTACCGCCGTTGTCCTATCCCATGTCACCATTACTGGATACACTGCAGGACCACAGCAAAGCAGTGAGTTTGTTTGGAATAGAAAACTATTACACCAACTACACTACACAGTCACCCACATTACCCCAATCCCTGGCGTGTTTACACAACAGAGACGCTGAGTGTTTACACAACAGAGACGCTGAGTCCCTTGGCCTTCCTGATCTTCAGGTGCAACTGGTCTCTGTTCCATCCAGCCATATTTTATTGGGCCAATTTTGTAACAGATATTGAATGGAAAAAAGTTTGGACTTTACCACAAAGGTTTTTCTTGACAAACAAAATTAAAGAGATTTCTTTAAGTTGATTCATAAGTTTTACCCTACCAAACAATATTTGTCCAAATTTATGGCTGAAATAAATGTAAATTGTACTTTCTGTCAAGAGCAACCTGAAACAGTTTCTCATCTGTTTTGGTCATGTAAATTTACGTGTAAATTCTGGAAGGATTTCCACAAGTTTATTACTGACTTTGTTCTCCCTAATCTTCAACTGTACTATAAGGATGTTATCTTTGGCTATTATAATTTTAAAGACAAGGACAATGATGCTTTCTTCTTTATAAATTTGGTTTTATTTTTGGCAAAATTTCATATACACAAAAGCAAAGTCCTCGGCAGAAAGCCTGAACTTCTTGTATTAAAAATGGAACTTGCACAATATATAAGGACAATCTCCTCATCAAACAACACTAAGGCTCTCAAGACTGTTAACATCTATAACCGATTGAAAGTGCTAACTTGATTTTGGCTCTTGCAAACTTTTGTTTATTTATGTTCCCCTTAATTTATTTTATTTTTTGTACTCACTTTTGTCTCACTGTCCTTGTCACGCTCTCTGTTCCTCATTGTACTACCACAATGTCATCTTTTATGTGATTCCTGTTTTACTTGACTGTATGTCTAAAATGTGATAAATAAAGTTAAGAAAAAAGAAAAAAAAAACATCAACTGAACACATCGCGCCACAAAACACAGCAACACACTTCCTCCACACTGGGTGTGAGTGGAGCCCTCTAGTGGGCTACTTAATAAACACTCATAATTGCAATTATCATAGTCCCATTAGGAGCAATGTTAGACTGTTTTTTAGTGCTAAGTGTAATTTACATTAAATTGCAATTAATATGAATTACTGAAATAATTTACTCCAAATCCTCCTTAGCCACAGTTTATCTGAAATGTTAAAACACTTCCCATTCTCTAAACCACATTCTCAGTGTCCTAAGCTTTTTTAATAAATCACTCTTTTTGCAAAACATTGAACAGTTTTAACCATGTCTGTGAAGGTTCTCAGTCATCCATGTTAAACACAATTTACAATTTACAATTTAGTAACTCAGTGTAAATCATTAAAACCACTGTGACTCATTAAAGGACATGTGTGCAGTGACAGCCAGGTTGAGTCAAAGGTTGAAACCAACAAAGCATAGAAACAATCTGAAAATACAGTGGCTTGCAAAAGCATTCGGCCCCCTTGAACTTTTCCACATTTTGTCACATTACAGCCACAAACATGAATCA